AGCTGAAATCCTCTTGAACAACAATACCTAAATACTTTTCGCTAGAAGTATGTAGTAGCTGCTGGTCCCCGAGGAAATACGAGAATTTCCGCCTGTGACGTAGGGATAAGACTTAGCATTGAGAAACATTAAATTCTATGTCGTTCTCCTTAGACCATTGATAAGCTGCGTTGAGTGATGCCTGAAGTGTTAGAGGGCCCTCGGGTTCTGTTATTGTGTTCCAGATATTGGCGTCGTCCGCAAACGGTATTGTTTTTGGACCCAACACCTTCGGTAGATCATTTATGAAGGCGAGGAACAGACGGGGACCGAGTATGGATCCTTGTGGAACACCGCGGGTGGCTTCGTAGATCTGGATGTGGAATCAGAAACGCGAACTGATATGGTCCTTTGTTGGAGGAATACTCCAATCCAATCAAACGCGAAATCTCGAACGCCATAATTGTAGACCTTCTGCAGCAAAATTTTGTGATTCACCCGATCAAATGCTTTCGAGAAGTCAAGATAAATCACATCCACCACATCCCTTCGTCGACTGTACTGACCCATTTATCTCGAACAAGAAGCAGGTTGGTGGAGCAGGATCGCTTCTGCCTAAACCCGTGTTGAGCTGTCGAAAGAATGTTGTATCTTTCGAGGTGTTCCATCAGAGAATCGGCCACAATTGACTCCATGACTTTGGATAGCACCGAAAGCAGGTTCACAGGTCTATAGTTAGCGGGTCACTACGGCAACCACCTTTGTATATGGGCTAAATGACTCCTTGTTTCCATGAGATTCGGGAGTGTTGCTTGGTCGAACATTCGTTGAAACAGAATAGCTAGCGGTTCGGATATGTGATTTGCCAAAAAGATCAGAGATTTCGGGTGTATGTTATCCGCACCTGGGGTTGCATTTTTTCCCAAAGCCATTATTTTCCCTTCGATTTTTTCAGCAGTAAATGAAACGTAGGTCAGTGAAGGATGTGGAAGATAATGAAACCGGGGGGGAGGGTAGTTATAAACCTTTAACCTGCGGTGCTGCGAAAACGTTGGAATACTGAGTTTTCAGCATTTTAGCTGCTTCCGTTGGAGTGGCTGCAACTCCTCCAGGGCTATTTAGTACCGGTATACCAAACGTTACTTTCCGAATGGAGTTTACGTGTTGGTACAACAGCTGAGAGTTAGAAATGAATTTTTGTGCTAGCGCCTCTTGGTATTTCACTTTATCCTCACGAATCAACCTGGTGCAGTGGTTCCACAGCATACGATAATTATTCCATGTGACAGCATTCGGAAGACGATTATAATCTCGCCAGGATAAGTCCCTCGCCGATAGCCATTTCCTTGTGCGACTTCCAATAGGTGAATTTCGGATGCCGGATTTGGTGATTACCCTAGTCCTAGTCACGGAAGTCATTAGATTTGTGAGATTTGTGAGATTGTCAAGAAATTTTTTCCAGGCGAAAAACGGATTGGAGTCTTCGTCATACGAAACCCAGTGAGTACAGAGCGCCAAGTTATTCAACAGTGTGTAGTCTATAGATCTGCGCGTGTTGCCTGGGGAACCTCATTGAATCGAAGCGTAACAAACATATTTGAATGTAAGTACTGCATGATCGCTGCGTTCAAGGGGGGAGTTACATTGACAGACTGTACCATCAGCTCCTCATTGGTCAACACTAAATCCAGTATGGACGGCAACTGAAGGTTGACAAACCTAGTGGCCACCTTCATATGGTTGTATAGTGGAAGCGAGTCAATTAGCCGTTTGAACTGATGTTCGAAAAATGAACAGACGGTCGCTGATTGGTTGAGATAGGGGCAGCTGAAATCACCCATAAGCAGAACATGAGTGAATTTTTGTGTAAGAATGTGTGACATAGTTAGTGAAAGCGTCTCATTGGCCGTCTCCGAGGATGATGGGGGACGATAGACTACACCAATCAAACAATCATCATGTTTGGACAACTTCAACCTGCACCACAGAGTGTCCGGTGTCGAAACGGGAGGGTAGATTTGCTCGTAATCAAGACTGTTTCGGTAGTAGAGTAAAACACCACCACCACGGGTAGGACGATCGCTTCTGAGTAGAGACATCTCTGATAAAGACAATTCGGAATCTGAAATATCAGCTGTAAGCCAAGTCTCTATAACAACAATAATATCCCACTGACTAGATATAAAACGTAAATTCACCTCTGGAAATTTGCCGAGGAGTCCTTGAGCAATGGAGCAGAAACAGTTTAGATACTGTCGGTGTAGAAATCCGCCAGGGTAGGAAGTGGTATTTCGGCCGCCCCGTTCTTGGTCCGCTACCATTAGTGTTTTTGGCAGATAAGCTCTGGTACTTTGGACCACGGGTTGCGTGACGGAGTTCGCTACTTGGATGGAGTGATCTGTTGTATCAGAAGGGTTCGCCAGATTTGGGCCTGGGAGTGAGTAGAGGTCTTACACGTAGTTCCGGAGGCCCGCTGTTCTTTCTTTCCCGCCATAACTGTAAGACTGTGTTCGCCATTTCTGAAGTTCCAAGGGTAACTTTCATTATCCTAGGACCGTTACCACGGTAATGTGGTGAACAAGGAAGACGACTGATTGAAATTGTCAATAGGTCGCCACACTCAAGTAGATTTTGAATGAATCGCCATTCTCTTCGGTCGTTCCGGAAACCGTTTGGTTCATCCGGATCGTCCAACTGCGGAACATCATAGATGAGGACGACCCTCTTATTTTCCTCCACTCGTGCTCTCATTGGATCGGTCTGGTGCTGTATTCGTTCCGTCTATGGCCTATCAGGGAAGATTCTTATTGGGCAGGAACTCTTTCTGAGGAGGTGACTAGAAAGAAGAACTTCCTCTAGGTCCCTATCATCTTTCAGGGTCACCCGGAGCAGTCTGGGTTCCCCGGCATGTGGCTACGTCGGCTGGCGCATGAGTCTTGTGGAGCCGACGGGTAGAACAATAATACCCATCTGCGCGCACAAACCCTTCCAGTGTTCCATCTCCTCTCCTTGTCGTTCTCTAAGTGGTTGGGTTGCCGGTTCGGGTACATTTGTGCAGATAATTGTCAAATCGGTGCTTCTCCCACCTTTTTCACCCAGTCTCGAAGGCCTTGGTGTGAACATGACAGGTTTCGTTCGAAAGGGGAACCTTTTTCTGTTCAGGAACTTTTACCGCGTCTTTCGTTACAGTGGAAACCATGTTTATGTCGGCAGAGTTCATACATTGTGTTGGAGCGATGCTGATTAGCGAACACCTTGGACGTTTAGCCGGTCGTTGGATTGGGCTCGACGGAGGGAAGTGGGAACTCAGGGTCGCTATCTTTTCTTCTCAATTCTGAAATTTTCAAGTTAGCTTTATCCTCCGCAGCCAACAGTAGCTTCTCGAACCTATTTTCAATGCCCATCATGTATTTTATAACCGGAGTTTCCGTGCAATCACTACAAAACCAAAAGCAGTCCTGTTGTTTCAAATCGGATGTTTCCACGTGTTTCAAACTTCACGGAGATTGTTCTTCAAGGCATGTATCTTTATATTCCACACTTCTCCAAACCCAGCAAATCACGATCCCATGAGTGGTCTAATCACGCTTGCAACCGTGCTGTACGTTTTAAAAACTCAGCATTTGGTCGTTGGCGCCACTCACCCAATCCGGCATCCCGCAACCGCTTCGTGCAAGTCAGAAACAAATGCTCAGTCACTATTTAGAGAGCTAAAGAACGCTTCGTTTGCCACCAAGCTGCGCGCTTGACTTCTTCCTCCACCGGTAACTGAACATTATGATCTCTCGCTAAAGCGGTTTCATGTATTTTCTACCCCTCCAACTTTCCTCCCATTTGCAATTCCTCTGGTACTCTTGTTTGTGATCCTCATGAAAAAGCAGAGGTCTTCGCCTCCCGGTTTGCCTCCAACGCCACCTTATCTATTGTTCAACCCTCCTCCTACACATCCAGTCACTCCTTTCTACCTATCATAACAACCAGAAAGGTCCACCAAACTCTTCGTGGTTGGGATGTTTGTAAACCACCTGGTCCGGACGGTATTCTACCTGTCGTCCTAGAAATGAGTGCCCCGGAGTTAGCCCTTGTACTACGCCGCTTTTTCTGTTATTCACTCGAACTTAAATCTTTCCCTACTCCGCGGAAAAATGCTATTATTTTTCCAATCCCAAAGTGCGGCGACCCTTCCGACCCCAACAACTACCGTCCCATTACTCTTACATCTGTAATCTCGAAAGTGTTGGAAACCATTATCTCCGACCAGCTGCGTACGTTTCTCGAACGCAAAGGTTTGTTAAATGACCGCCAGTATGGATTTCGCCCTTGTCGATCTACGAGTGACTTACTGGTGATTACATCACATTCCTGGTCGGCTGCGCTTGATAACCAGGGAGAAACTCACATAGTCTCGCTCGACATTTCAAAGGCCTTCGATCGCGTTTGGCATGAAGGTCTGTTGTCGAAATTACCCTTGGTTCGGATTCCACCCGTCTCCGGCTTCGTTGTTTCCTCTGCAAGCGAAGTATCCCCGTCCGAGTAGATAGGGTCCTATCTCGGCCAGTTCCTGTAAAACGCCGGTGTTCCCCAAAGGTTCCATACTAACGCCCACCCTCTTTATTTTATTTATCAACGATCTTTTATCCCATCCACTGCTATGCCGATTATGCCACTCTCCATTGTTCTCTTTCTTGCCCCACTCTCCGTCAAGCTAACACCAAAATCGATCACGATGATAATGCCATTAGTGCTTCTCTTGCCTCCGATCTCTGCATGGGGTTCTACCAACCATGTGTGTTTCAATGCTTCCAAAACTCCTCTCCTCTCAGTTTCTCTCTAACGTGTCTCTTTTTCTCCTCAATTGATTTTTGATTCTCTGCCGCTTCGTTCCTCAAATTCTTTTTTACTCCTGGGTTTATCCATAAATTCTTCTCTCTGTTGGTCCCCTTTTATTTCTACACTTGCCTCTCGCGCTGCGAGCAAAATTGGTTTTCTATTCCGCGCAAGGTGTTTCTTTACACCCAAGCACCTTCTTTTGTACAAAGTTCAAATCCGCCCGATGCTTGAATACTGCATTCACTAATAGGGTGAGGCTTCGTATTCCGCTCTTTCTCTCCTCGACCGTGTTCAACGTAAACCCATCCGGCTGATCGACTAACTGTCTTTAACTTTCAACTTTCAGTCGCTTTCCCATCGCCGGGCAGTTGCTTCGTTATCTCTTTTCTATCGTTACCATTTTGGTTTCTGCTGTTCCGATCTCGCTTCAACAGTTCCCATTCCATTAACCTTCTCTCGACCATCTCGTTTTCAGGCGAACAGTCACCCTTATCAGGTTTCTGTCCCCAGATATCGGACTTCTATCTTTCAATCTTCTTGTTTCCCGAGGACTGCGAAATCGTGGAACACTCTTCTTATTTCTGTGTTTCCCAGTTCTTATAACCTTACCCTTTTCAAAAGCAGAATTAACAAATTGATTCTTACTTGAATGTTCCCCCCACATGTTTCCGGAGTCCTATCGCCGAGTACGGGGTGATATCATCTGTGTGCGACGTATTCTTCGCGGTGACATGGGTCCAGAGTTGATGGAGTATTTCCCTCTGCACGAGCAGACCAGGACTCGTGGACATGGACTTACGCTGTTGAAGCTTTCGTCCGTAGGATTACCTCTTCGGTTCCGGCTATCGCGAAGGGTAACCAATCTTTGGAACTCCCTTCCAGCTGACGTGGTGGAAGAGGTCAATGATAAGATGTTCAAGAGGAAGCTCGACAGCGTCCTGCGAACAATGTGGTATGCAGATCTATCATGAATGAGATCTTCGAGTCTGTGGTGATGAGGCTCATACGGGAAATCACCCTCTGCCTCTAACTGAGGAACATTGAACATTGAACCTATCTCCCCCTTACAGTATATCGTTGATTATGGGATTTGCCCTTTTTGCTGCAAATCACTTTGTGTGTAATAGAAAAAAAGACTCCAGTCAAATGACAATAAAAAATCCATAGCCAGCACCGTTGCACTCACGCACACACATATATACTAGAAATTTAAATTAATCCCGAATCCGGGGTATTCCGCTGTCTACCAAGATTGATATTTGGATCAACAGTTAAGCTTTTTCAATCGTATATGGTTTAAGATAAGCGACAGAAAAAGTTTACATTCGGTCCACACTGTGCGGTCTTTAGCCTGTTATTCTACTCTGCTAGATGATGTACAGAGTGTTCCGTTGGCGTGTTGTCTTTTAAATAAGCATCCGTTATGTCTCTGGGGGTTGGCGTCTTGTGTATTGAGTAGTCACCCTTCCGTTGTAATTTGCGAAATTCCTATACAACCAAACTTCTCATATGAATTCTGATGAGGAAGCTCTTCTTGTTGCCTTAATCGAGTGGAGATATTTCCCCGCCAAAGTGAGAGAATGGAAGGCCAGTACGCAGGGCTACAGCCGAGTGAGAGAACCACTGTTAGTTCATGCAGAGGAGATAACTAAAAAAGTGATTTGATACCAATCGATTAGAGACGTATGAGCCACATATACACACACTTTACTAGTTCTGTCATCATCGGTTTGATTAAGTATCAAGGTATATTAGGCACCTTGGACGTTTGACCCGTCCAAAGGGTGTATGATCTGATGAACCGGTCAGTTTAGCTCAGTTTGTACAACCATTAACCACGCATATTCGTGCGCCGGTGATGAACTGATGAACTGGACACGGGATCCAATAGATTGCAGTTTTCGCATACGAGTCTACTACCTCACGGATTAAACGTTGGCTAGTAGAAGGCTATGGCTGTGAATATTTAGAAAAAATTCTTCATTTTGGGCCTAAACAGCCTGATAGTATTCCGTCATTGAGCAAATCATGTACCGATGATTCTTGCGTGTGTTGTTGGGCGTACGGTTTGGACACAGGTAAGCGTGAAATATAATGTAAATACCAACACATCTGCTGTCTCTAGACCTCACTTGTTGGTTCCACTTAGCAGTAAACCTGAAGCTGCACTCACATCTCGGTAAACCGCAGACAGGCAGGCTAAAATGGATGGAAATAACTGAAGTATTCAGATTCCAATGGGCAATTCCCGGGGGACTAGGTCGAGGAGATCCGCCTCCTGATAGAAACACGAGTCTTGCGCTTTCACACTAACAGTTTGGACTTTACTCCACCATTAGCTGGTACAAGACACGCAGGCAGCCCGGTGTCTTGCGGGAAGCATTTGAATTTGCAAATTCTAGAGATCCTTCCCTAATCCAACACCAAGTGACCTTGGGGATGAGCTTATTAAATCATTCCTGAGTATACTCATGGAGTGTTTATTGACTCG